TTTTATTATCCATGCAGATATAAATGCCGTTCACTAAGGAAAAGAAGTAAGATAAAACTTTGTCTAAGAACAATCAAATGGAGAAGAACTGCCAAAATATCCATCGACCACTTTTTCGCACTTTGCCACGGATTTTACCAGGACAGTTTTTGCAATTTTTCTCAAACATCCTGTAAACTTTTTGTAACAATCAAAGCGTCTACAAGTTAAGTATTCTTCTCTCTTCTGGTCTCAATTATTAAACAAAAAAATTCACTTATGCTGTTTTTCTAAGAAAATAGAAACTATCGATGACCAGGTGCAAAACTTCTCAAAAAGATCTGCTACTACAGAAATATTAAGCACACTTTTTGCAGTTAACACTTTTATTTTACGGCCAGAAACTGGACTGGAGCGGACGTGATACAAGAATGAATGGGTTTCCAAAAAGTCGGTGGAAAATCTGAAAAAGTGGTACAAGCCATTCTATTTCTCCTTTCTCCCGTTTCTCATCAAACCATTTGATTTTAATTTTCCTGGGTAGTTTACATAATTGCTTATGTTACAAAAAATATATCAGTTGTGTATTACTTCAGATGGCGGGGGCAAAATAGAGAAACTTACTTTTGGTACGTCCTTTGTAATAAAGAATTGTACAGTTCTACACGTGCATAGTCAGCCCAGAAGAAAATAATTTCAATACACGTTCCAATAACAAGCCAAAAAGCCCCCAGCCACGCTTAGGGCCTGGCAATAAATACGAAACTAAATGCCGTTCTCCGTTCTCTGTCCACAAGCTTTGGAACGGGCAGGATTATTCTTTATTATATACATCGAGCGCAGCGAAGGTCAACTTGCTCAGTTTTGATACATCCAGCTGCCGCTAGAACAATTTTTGTAGCAATCACTTATATTAGCGCAATCCAGTTTCAGGCTATCTCCTTGTGACCAACACGAAAGTTTGTTGCAGTTTTGTGTTGCTTTCGGTGGCTTCCAATAGGTCACACTATTGGCGACGTCGCAACACCAACCGATAGCGGCCCAAGACAAATTTTTTTGTGCATCCACATTTATGGATGCAATTAAATTTTGGCTATCTCCCCATGTTCGATACGAATGTCTAGTGCATTTTTGTGTTGCTCTAAGTGGATGCAATCAGGACATAATATTGGCGATCTCACGATACACACCGCTAGCGCCATATAACAATTTTTTTAGCAATCACTTATATTAGCGCAATCCAGTTTCAGGCTATCTCCTTGTGACCAACACGAAAGTTTGTTGCAGTTTTGTGTTGCTTTCGGTGGCTTCCAATAGGTCACACTATTGGCGACGTCGCAACACCAACCGATAGCGGCCCAAGACAAATTTTTTTGTGCATCCACATTTATGGATGCAATTAAATTTTGGCTATCTCCCCATGTTCGATACGAATGTCTAGTGCATTTTTGTGTTGCTCTAAGTGGATGCAATCAGGACATAATATTGGCGATCTCACGATACACACCGCTAGCGCCATAGAACAATTTTTTTAGCAATCACTTATATTAGCGCAATCCAGTTTCAGGCTATCTCCTTGTGACCAACACGAAAGTTTGTTGCAGTTTTGTGTTGCTTTCGGTGGCTTCCAATAGGTCACACTATTGGCGACGTCGCAACACCAACCGATAGCGGCCCAAGACAAATTTTTTTGTGCATCCACATTTATGGATGCAATTAAATTTTGGCTATCTCCCCATGTTCGATACGAATGTCTAGTGCATTTTTGTGTTGCTCTAAGTGGATGCAATCAGGACATAATATTGGCGATCTCACGATACACACCGCTAGCGCCATATAACAATTTTTTTAGCAATCACTTATATTAGCGCAATCCAGTTTCAGGCTATCTCCTTGTGACCAACACGAAAGTTTGTTGCAGTTTTGTGTTGCTTTCGGTGGCTTCCAATAGGTCACACTATTGGCGACGTCGCAACACCAACCGATAGCGGCCCAAGACAAATTTTTTTGTGCATCCACATTTATGGATGCAATTAAATTTGGCTATCTCCCATGTTCGATACGAATGTCTAGTGCATTTTTGTGTTGCTCTAAGTGGATGCAATCAGGACATAATATTGGCGATCTCACGATACACACCGCTAGCGCCATATAACAATTTTTTAGCAATCACTTATATTAGCGCAATCCAGTTTCAGGCTATCTCCTTGTGACCAACACGAAAGTTTGTTGCAGTTTTGTGTTGCTTTCGGTGGCTTCAATAGGTCACACTATTGGCGACGTCGCAACACCAACCGATAGCGGCCCAAGACAATTTTTTTGTGCATCCACATTTATGGATGCAATTAAATTTTGGCTATCTCCCATGTTCGATACGAATGTCTAGTGCATTTTTGTGTTGCTCTAAGTGGATGCAATCAGGACATAATATTGGCGATCTCACGATACACACCGCTAGCGCCATAGAACAATTTTTTTTAGCAATCACTTATATTAGCGCAATCCAGTTTCAGGCTATCTCCTTGTGACCAACACGAAAGTTTGTTGCAGTTTTGTGTTGCTTTCGGTGGCTTCCAATAGGTCACACTATTGGCGACGTCGCAACACCAACCGATAGCGGCCCAAGACAAATTTTTGTGCATCCACATTTATGGATGCAATTAAATTTTTGGCTATCTCCCATGTTCGATACGAATGTCTAGTGCATTTTGTGTTGCTCTATGGATGCAATCAGGACATAGTATTGGGGATCTCACGATACACACGCTAGCGCCATAGAACAATTTTTTTAGCAATCACTTATATTAGCGCAATCCAGTTTCAGGCTATCTCCTTGTGACCAACACGAAAGTTTGTTGCAATTTTGTGTTGCTTTCGGTGGCTTCCAATAGGTCACACTATTGGCGACGTCGCAACACCAACCGATAGCGGCTCAAGACAAATTTTTTTGGGCATCCACATGTATGGATGCAATTAAAAATTTCGGCTATCTCCCCATGTTCGATACGAATGTCTAGTGCATTTTTGTGTTGCTCTAAGTGGATGCAATCAGGACATAATATTGGCGATCTCACGATACACACCGCTAGCGCCATAGAACAATTTTTTTAGCAATCACTTATATTAGCGCAATCCAGTTTCAGGCTATCTCCTTGTGACCAACACGAAAGTTTGTTGCAATTTTGTGTTGCTTTCGGTGGCTTCGAATAGGTCACACTATTGGCGACGTCGCAACACCAACCGATAGCGGCCCAAGACAAATTTTTTTGTGCATCCACATTTATGGATGCAATTAAATTTTGGCTATCTCCCCATGTTCGATACGAATGTCTAGTGCATTTTTGTGTTGCTCTAAGTGGATGCAATCAGGACATAATATTGGCGATCTCACGATACACACCGCTAGCGCCATAGAACAATTTTTTTAGCAATCACTTATATTAGCGCAATCCAGTTTCAGGCTATCTCCTTGTGACCAACACGAAAGTTTGTTGCAATTTTGTGTTGCTTTCGGTGGCTTCCAATAGGTCACACTATTGGCGACGTCGCAACACCAACCGATAGCGGCTCAAGACAAATTTTTTTGGGCATCCACATGTATGGATGCAATTAAAAATTTCGGCTATCTCCCCATGTTCGATACGAATGTCTAGTGCATTTTTGTGTTGCTCTAAGTGGATGCAATCAGGACATAATATTGGCGATCTCACGATACACACCGCTAGCGCCATAGAACAATTTTTTTAGCAATCACTTATATTAGCGCAATCCAGTTTCAGGCTATCTCCTTGTGACCAACACGAAAGTTTGTTGCAATTTTGTGTTGCTTTTGGTGGCTTCGAATAGGTCACACTATTGGCGACGTCGCAACACCAACCGATAGCGGCCCAATACAAATTTTTTTGTGCATCCACATTTATGGATGCAATTAAATTTTGGCTATCTCCCCATGTTCGATACGAATGTCTAGTGCATTTTTGTGTTGCTCTAAGTGGATGCAATCACGACATAATATCGGCGATCTCACGATACACACCGCTAGCGCCATAGAACAATTTTTTTAGCAATCCCTTATATTAGCGCAATCCAGTTTTTGGCTATCTCCTGTAACTGAAAGGTGCGTGTGGCGCAGGAAACCCCTAAACTGTGTAACTGAATCGTGCGTGTGCCAGATGAAACCTTTTAGGCTTTGTAACAGAAAGGTGATTGTGCCGGATGAAACATTTTAGGTTTTTGCAACTTAAAGGTGCATTTGCGGAATCTGTTTTTTTATTCTCACATAGCTGAAGCCTTTCTGTGTACCCATGGCACACCTGCCCCCGGCTAACATCCTTCCGGTTCCTCTAAAATTTAGAAAACCTGTTTACTACGAATTGTTTAGCTAAAAGACGCAGCTGACAGGAACAGCCTTTGCACTGCAGCACGGCGCGTGAGCGCCGCGCGCTGTGCTTGTAGATTTATTAATATTTTTTTTTAACAGCTGGATTAGGTCGGAAATGGAGCGTATAATTGCTGCATGTTATGTGTATTCCACTTATTGTAAGCATAGTTTGCATTGTTGTTCACGAGCAGTTTATACCGCCTCATACCAACCTATAGTTACAGTACTTGGATAGATAACGTTATCGCCAGAGTTATTAGTTACTGTTTTAACACAACTGCATTATAATTTTAATTAGAAACTCGGGTCGTCACCTGGGAGACTCAGAGTCTTATTATTCAGAATTCAGATTCAGAGTTTCAGGATCAGAATCAGACTTTAAGTATTCAGACTCAGACTTTTAGCGTTCAGAATCAGATTCAGACTTTCAGCGCAGGCCATTAAGACTGACTGGAAAACATTTTTTTTGGCTCGTGCCGTTGCCACACTTGTTAGCACCATCTGTTAACACTGCTTAAACATGTTTAAAAACTGCATGCGCCTTTAATCCCTTTACAGACTTTACTCCACGCTCATTGTTTCTGTTTGTTGCAGATTCATATGTACGGTAGAAGGGGAAGAGATGTTAAGAAGAGCCCCTTTACAAATTAGCTACAATCTTGGCAGCTTGCTTCTTGAGGTCCTTTAATTCGTAGATGACAGCTAATTTTAAATACCGCTCGGCGTTCTCCCTGGTAAGCCCAGCAACCATTAAATTTCCACAAATGTCACGTAGATCCTCCAGTTCGTATCTGCTGGCAACGACCAGTATCTCTTCGGCATTTTTCTTTAATTCTTCCGAAACGGTGCGGCCATATAGAAACTCGAGAATCGCTTCCAAAATGTTTCCAGTGATGTCAGTAATTTTGCAAGTGCCAGTTGATTTTTCCGACATATCCGTGCTAAACATGGTGGCAAAAACTGACGATTGAGCAGCGATGATGGCACGGTGTACAGAAAATTCGACATTGTCAGCCGAAATTACCTTGAAGTCTGCATAATTGTTCAATTTCAAAATATTTCTCATTTGTTCGGCCAAACGACTCAAACCTTGCGGTCTAACTAACGTTGTCGGTGCCGTGGATTTTGTATGGAACAGAAAATCGATGGTCAGCGTCTGGTTAGAAGATAAGACGTTGCCCGTAAATAAAAATTTTTCGACGCCCGAAATCTCCACAATGGCTGGAATGCATTCGTAATTGCCTGGTTCTAATGTAGCATTTCCTTTTGCTGACAAAATGTTACGCCGTTTGACTCGGAAACTGCAATTTTTTGTTAGAATTTGTTTGTATTCGCATTGTTTGCAAATAATGGAGGCACATCACTTACCTCAAGACGAAATCCATCTTGGTGCAAATGTTTCGTTGGATCGCGGGTTGTTCTTCGAATAAATCAGCGTGAGGCTTAATTGACGCTGTAATACTAATCTCTCTTCGTTCGGGTACGTCTATCGAGGATCGCTGAATTCTTTCTATGGTAAACATCCATAGTCCAACTGGAAGATCTGGATATTCTGATGATGCACCAACTGCAAGGTCTATTTCATAATTCAGAGTGTGCACGCTTTCGTAGACCCATAGACCTTTCGTAGACCAATCCTTTAGTAGTACATTGGAATAGTTTCTTTCAGCCTGCTCTTTGACGACATAGTACATCCGAAACTCGGAAGCAGGAACCTTAAATGTCAGTCGAACCAAGGGAACGGGCTCCGTGGCAGGATGAACGGGTGATCGGTGCCCGGCCATGCTAAAATCAAAACACAACTATCCAAAAGTTCAAGGTTAACGTTTAGCGGCAGTGCAGTTCTCAGCTTTTTAATGTGCTACGTTCGTTCTGCTGTCGACACATCTGTTCCTTTTTAAGTCTGAGCTGGATGATTTGCAGCAAAATTTAACGGCGATAGTACGAGTGGTTCACGTATCCGTTTCATGTTGCACAGCCAGTAGATTCACGTTCAACACTTGAAAACACTCAACAGTCAACACAAACATGTGTATTGTTAAATCGCAGCTTGTCTGTGTTCCTTGTTACTAAATTATTTAATATATGCCGGTAGTTTGCGTGAAATGAAGATGTTCGTATCAGCAAGCATGCACCGAAAGCATTTTTATAGTACAAGTAGCAAATGGGTTTTACTAGACAACAGACACAGTCCAATATTATTACAATTGACAGTGGTAAAAACGGCTCGTTCAGATAGTGTTGGGTAAGCCCGGTCCGGCGCAAACCGGCCCGAACAAGAGGACCGGGCCGACGTTTCCACGGCGGCCACCTAGCTGCACAATAATAAGCTCATCTTCAGTAATAAGTACAGTGATGCATAAGTACATTAATAAGTACAGTAATGCACAGCATAAGCTCATCTTCATCCATATAAGGTCAGAGGCGCAGTGGCATGTATTAATTATTAGTAACCGAGTATTTGCTGTATATCTGCATGCGGAATCAATATTAAAATCATTCCAAAAACGTGCGACCATATTAGGATCTATACTTATAATTGTCTGTTTAATTTTAGGCGACTGCTATGCGCCCCGACGTCCGGGCGCACAGAATTTAGCTTTGCGCCTCGTTTTTTATTTTCTAATGAAATCTCCGAAAGTACAGGAAGGTGTCCGAAAGTACAGCCGACCCTGTCTCCAAAGTGATCTACTTATTTGACTCTTTGGTTAGCAGCCGAGCCCCTGGATCCTTTCGCAAATATGGACACTATGTAGTCGGGAAAAGGACATCACAATTACCATGCCCGCTGTACCAAAACAGGCGCCCGGCTCAAACAATTGTGCGATATACCCTTGCGCATTCGCGCTCGACACTATCGACGTAAAGAGAACCTCTGAACTCGAACTGCAAAAGCGAAACTGAGTTCCGCTTCTGGCTTAAGTAAATCATCGAAGAAAAAAAATTACAAAGACTCCGAGGAACGCGGTGTAGTAGTAAAAGGCGTCCCGGTAAGGGATTTTGGATTTTGTCACGTCCAGATGCAGTTCATGACGTCACAAATATAATCTAGAATATCATTGCATTTATCGCGATTAAGTGTATTAGTTCACACACTAATTATTTACACTATTTAATTAATTAGGGTTTTAGTCAGTTTTACAAGTATCTACCAGAAATGAACTTGTTAAGCTAGTTTTGTTCAGAAAAAAACCCAGAGTTTTGTGATATTCGAACCATGTGAATTTGAGGTCACGTCACCAAGTTATAAATTTTTAGGCTACTTCGTCGAAATTCAGCAGTTGTTTGCTAATGGCGTGAAAAATGTGTGACACATAATTTTTTAACGTCATAAATACAATGCAAAAAATTCCATAAAACTTATCAAATCTAGACCCTAGTTTGGAATATAAATTGCATAGAATAGAGTACTATCGTAATCATAATTATACGTACATACTAGCTTGCGTGCACACAGTAAGCCTTTTAGTGCTGGAAACAACTGTCACATTTATCGCACAATAAAAGTACAGTCGTGAAAGTGGACGGTTCATGGTACAGTTATACCTGTATGCCCTATAAATAATAAGTGTAATCCTCAACTGTCAAACAGCCCTAGTCAGACAGCCTTTACCAGTCAGACTCAGCCCTTTAGGGGTCAGACTCAGACTCGGACTCAGCACCTCAGTGCGGGCCCAAGATTGCACATGGACCAATGACAACCACTTATCTCGAAGGACCAACGGCAGAGGTTGCTTGAAAGTAGTTTGAAAAGGTGTTGCAAAAGTTTCTGAACCCAGTGAAAGGGTGTAAAATGTTGTGAACGGAGTGGTGACCGTAAATGTTTGGTTTGCCTTCCGCCGAGTGAAGCACCTCGTTCATTACAAACGCGTGCCCTGTACGCAGCGTCTGAGTTTGATAGGATTATACTACTGTTGCAAACACACAGTGAGAGAACTGAAATGGATCCCGACTATTCTTAGCTGGTTCTTTATGATGCGGTGGCTGATAAATGGAGATCATCAGCATTACTTGCAAAATGGCGGTGAAGGATGGTTGTCGTGGCAGGCGTATTTACATTCTTGGTGGATATGTTGTTGTTCCTGGTAAAAAACAATTGGTTTTGAAAGCTTCAAAACGCTTCCATGCTAGCAGTAATTGGGCATCCCCTATCCAGTCCGTGCAAAAGCAGTGAAGCGAACATTTAGCCTGCAATGCAACGAGTGCATGTACGAGTACGAGGACGAGCTTAGTACATGTGATAGACAAAAAAACTAGCGAGAGAATCTGATAACCATTTGCGTGCTGTGCAACACTGTCAGCAACCTTAGGCTGGCGGTAGCCGCGCGCCGTCACGCAGCCGTTAGCTGAACACGGCCTGCTATTTACTGTAACGCACACTCGTATTAAAATTTAAATGCGAGTTTTGTTTTGGTTTTATAACTTTGTTTATAATTGGTTCTCCGCAAAATTTCCAGTAACCAGTGACTGACATTGATTAACCAAGCTCTTGATAATATGTTATAAAATTACCATCTAAATATAAAGATTCATCTGGCGAGATATACTACGATGAGAATATCACCGACGTACGGCTACCTGCCAGTTTGTTTTCTGCACCTGCGATGCAGATTTCTTGCGCGAGTATCAGCGTTGTTTCGGGCCTACCGTTGAGTGAGAATTGTGTGGAGGAACCTGCCAGCGACGTGCCTTTACCAGCAGCGTACGATGATCGTATGGCCTTGGCGCTGAAGGCTTGTAGAACGGGGAACCTGTCACAGTACGCTGCAGCGAAAAAGTACAAGGTTCCTTACTCTTCGTTCTAGAATAAACTGAAGGGCGTGCGTACGGAAAAGAAAGGCGCACATATGAGAAAATTTTCGGAAGCCGAAGAAAACTACATCGAAAATCTGCTGCTGAAGTGTGCGCAGAACGGCATCCCTCTGGATAAAAGATTTTTAAAGCGGATTGTGCCGTTACTGACCAAATATAAAGGTAGCTAAAAATGAGATTTAAAATTATTCGTGTAAAATTAAATTAAATTATTGACTGTTATCGCATTTTTTTATATTGGTTAATTTTAAATTTGAATGCGTCCGTTTCTGACGAAATATTCAGTGACGTTAGTGTGAGAATATTTGTACGTTACTGGTTTTTCCTTTACTTACAAAAATTTTACCTTGTACAGATGTGCCCAAAAATCGAAAGATGTTTTCATCATACTGGCATCGCGAATTTCTTAAAAGGCACCCGAAGATTGCTCAGCGAATTTTACACAGCGTTTCCCAAAAAAGGCTAAAGAGTGGACCGTGGAGAATCGGGAGGGTTGGATACAACGATTGAGTGAGCTTAATAACGAGGGCCTGCTGCTTGATCCTGCAGGAATCTGGAATTTTGACGAGTCAGCGTTCCAGGTAGCGGAAAAAGTGACGACGGTATACGCCAAGCGGGGGGTAAAGGAGGTCCTTTCGTACTATGACGGTAACGACCGCGAACTGATCACGGTGTTGGCGGGCGGCAATGCGGCTGGAGAAATTCTGCGACCATTAATTTTGACGGCAAAGTTTTCCTTGCTTTTCGTTTTGACGGCACAGACGACAGTTGTCATATTGGCTTTAACTCGTCAGGCGTGATGGATAATTCAACTTTCACTTCATATATCAGAGAAGAAGTCATCCCCAAAATGACGGCAGCAAAAGTGCGTATTTTCTTTTTTCTCTATTAAAAAAATTTAAAAAATTAGTTGTCATAAATTTCTTTCATTTTATTAAAAAATAAATGTTGAAAAATAATAATGTTGTGTATTTTTTCAGAATGTTATTTTTCTCGATGGGCACAGCTCTCATATGTTCAATCTGGAGTTTTTATCGGAGTGCATGAAGTCTGACAAAGATATTACCGTTGTCATACTGCCGTCTGGTCAGACCGGGAAGTTGCAACCCATGGATCTGAAGGTGTACGGCCCTGTTAAAAAATATCGGCGGGATTATTTGCGACTGATGACCCTTATCGCTGAAGAAGAGGTATTTTCGTTTTTTATGCTAATTTTAGTTAATAAATAAATCTGATAAATTAATCTAAAAATTAAATTTGATCGAAGGTTAACAAACAAAACTTCGCTCGTCACCTTGTGAAAAAATGGGATGAATTTAACATGGCCGCCAATATTATTTCTGGGTTTGCTTTTTCCGGAATTTATCCTTTCAACCCGGATGCGGTCTGCCGAGCTTACGTAGAGCCCGTTCCAAGCCAATTTCTATCAGACGTTCCCATTTCTGTTGCCACCGTATACGTGAGCGAGCTGGAAGTTATACGCACAAATCTTCGAAAAATTCCACTTTTGACTGAAGGACAGATAGAAGAGATTGTGGCGTTCACAATCTCTAAAGCAGAAGGTTTTCTTCCATCGGTTGCAGCTGACAAAGTGGCTGCAGATTGGCACCATAATTTCATGAGCGCTCATCCTCAGAAAAAGAGAAAACTTAAAGATTCTCGTCTGCGCGCCGAAGCAGGGCTTATTGCGACGGACAGTAAAGTAATCGCAGCGCTCGAGCAACGGGAAGCAGAAAAACTGCTGCAGAAAAATAAGCGAAAAAGAAACACTCGTAGCGGACTCAGCGATGTGACAAATACTCCGACTAAAATTAAAAATCTTTCAGAATGGGTAAAAAGTGAGTCCTCTGAAATTTCACATGTGGTTCTACAAAGTCAAAGTTTTACTGTAAGAAATAAAGTGTGCGGTATTACTGGGGTGATTATTTGTATTAAATGTGATGTGTTTACCAGCACTGACAAACCTGGGTGGTTGCCCGTGTTGCACGGGCCGGGCATGGTTATCAGATTCTCTCGCTAGTTTTTTTGTCTATCACATGTACTAAGCTCGTCCTCGTATGTCTTCGGAAGGAAAAAGGTGAACGCAACAACCAGTATTCTATAGAAGCTTACGATACCACGCGCGCGCACACGATTGGTGGACATTGCTAACCTGGAACTTATAACCCGCTCAGGTTTAACGGTTTTTGAACACACACCGCAACTGGCACCTGGATTGCATGACTTGTCCGTATTGGTGGCTTGGTTTGCTATCACACCAAGCCAGTACGTGTGCCGGATGTTCTTTATCGATATCATCCGGCTTCTGTCAACTATTTCCGTATCCGTACTTGCTATTAGCACCATTTAATGTTAATATTTTCGAACATTAGCCTGCACTCAGTGGCATTCGGATATCTTGTCGAGAACCATTCGAGACGAAATTATTCCGACGATGCTGATTAAGTATGCTTGAGATGCTTCTTTTGCGTGATACGGTACTTGCGTTTCGTGATTCGGTTGCAAATTTGTTTCGTTATACAGCAGTAAATCAGTAAAATTAATTATGTAATTATTCAGAACAGCCAACGCAGTTCTCCAGGGGCTGTATTGTATTTCATACAATACAGACTACAGGCGGGGCCCCATCGGCCAGGTCTGATTTTGGAAGGAGTCTGCGTTGATAGAGAACAGAGAGAGCGTCTATGTTAAAGCGCCATAGACATCTCGATACTTCATCTTTTTTGGCTTGCAGTTTGAAAAGTTGAGGCAATCATCAACATTCTGAGCCGGCAGTTTTGTTGTAAATTATATTCTCTTTTGAATGGTATAAGAAGCGGCTTTATGTTACAAAGAAAAACAGAATCTGTTGCGAGCTGACTGAGGCAAGGTAAACATCCATCGACTGGGCTGGTCAGGGCACTAATGGTTGCCACTTGTTCAGAACGCCCATTGATTGAGCTGGTCAACCCATTCATGGTTGCCGCTTGGTTAAAGCACAGAGACCACATGCCCATTTCAAACCACTAGTCCATTTCCGCTGGTCATGTGGTTGATTTCTTTAAACGGCTCTGTAAACCTTCCTAGTAACACTTTTTTGAAGAGAGAGACACCAGTCTGTCGGCACAAACGTTCTCTACACAATGGGATAGGTTTCAATGCAACCGAAGTAGCACAGGTTTGTTTAAGGGGCAGAAAGGAGTTTTGTCTCGCAGACTTCTATGTTAACAAACTCCTTCCATTTGCACGCGCACCGAACCCTTTATGATGTTTAGCCTGGCCTGTATCTTCACTGTATACAATACAGTGAAGCTCCTTGAGTAGGGCAGTGGAACAGCGCTCCAGAAGATTGACAGCAAGCGCATCAGTTATCAGGATAGTTTCCGTCTTTCCGATGCCAGAGGTCCAGAAAAACATCTGTCAGCTGACATCCCACGGTTCCAGCTATCACAACGGCATCGGTTCTTCTTCATCATAGTGACAATGTCAGCGGTCATCCATTATCGTGATGGAAACGCATGGAGTAGCTACAAGAATACACAAATCGGTTAGTTCCCTGCATTTGTCAATTCAGCGAGCCCTGCTAAGCGGTGCTCGTTCGCAAGAAATCAAAAACGGGTTTACGCTACCAGGATAAGTTTACCGTCTCCCCTCATCGATCTACCGGTGGTCAGATCCGTCGTCCACCGCGCATTTCGTTCAGCACTGTGTGGTCTGTTGCTACACAAGTGTCGTTCAAACAGATCGAAATCTGGGTCAGACTAACGTTGCACAGGTGGAAGGCAACGTACCGGATGTAAAATTCCAACACGTCAAGGCTGTCGGCAGTCATCGCGCCGGACGTCAGTGCATAATCCTTGCAAATCACCCGCTCACAGCACTACGCGACCGGCACACACCGCGCTGATATCGTTCAGGAACTACCAGAACGTCGTGATACGTATATTGGCAGTTGTAAAACCCCGGTGCACGATCAAGCTTCCAATGCGACTGCCGGTCGCATCCAGAATTTGCTTGATATGGCCCATCATTTCGCCGGAACACGTCCGGCTTTTGGACTCTACGAAGGTGTCACCGTTCATCTTTCTGCCGCGAATACAAATCGTCCGAGTGACAGAAGTGATGTGCTTGATAATGCAATTGTACGCCGAATAATTCCACTGTAAAAAGCTATTTGTAGCCAGCTAATTGTCCGACGCCCAACAGGAAATTTCGCAGGGACACCATATTCATGGACGGTTGGGGCGAGCGTGGAACAGCACTTGCACTTGATCTCCCGATTCCGCTTGAGAACGAGGCCACCCTGCTCCGCTAGAGTATTGCTAGAGTATTGGAAGAACTGGAAGTAACTTGGAAAACTCTTATCCGGTTTCTGGCGGGTAGAACACTGGAACACCTTCCCGTAATCCACCCGCACCGACCGCTGTGTCGCGCATCCAAAGTCAAGGATCGAGCGCGGTGAACCACCATCGTCGTTGGTCACACCCACGACGTGACCGCACAGCTTATTTTATGTAGTTATATGTTTCTGGGCTTCTTATGCAAAAGCCTATCGCTCTACTACGCATGTTTTGCACTTGGTCACCGAGGTATACCAGTTTCCTAAAGGCACGAAAATTCCAGAATATTTGTGGCGGGCTTTTTGCAATCAACTTAAGCATGCAAATCACAAGTACGGCGTTGCACAAAAGAAACAAAATCTGTCAACTAAAAGCGTTGAGCCTGTTGCAAGACACAAAGTTACTGGATCGGCAATCACAGCGGTTAACTTTATATAATGAATTGTAATATCGGTATTTGCACTTTCCACATTTATGGTTAAAAGGTCAAATACAAAACGAGAACTACGCAACAAACCTGCTTTTGAAATTTTTTTGCTTTCAGGTGATTTGAGCTTATTTATTACTTAAGTAGTAAATTACTTACTTTATAAGAATAATTAATATTGACGCATGGCCAGAGCTCGCAAGTACCCTTTTCACACCGAACGGTACACCTATCCAGGTTTCATCTAATCAAGCACAAACACTGTTCCGATGTGTGCTGTCATGACTCTTCAGATATATACGTATTTGCCGGTACAGTAGAAAATATGCATGTTTCCATACGCGTAAGGCTCTCCATTCAGTCATTGATCCCAAGATCACCACTTAACACATTTCCGGCAAGAAAGCTCTGTACAGTAACCTGTAGCATTACGAGGAAACAAAGACTTTTCGATGTTGAATGGTGGGGAGAGGTGCTAAGCGTCGTACATTCACCCGAAGCGGCCGTGTTTGATCCGCCACACCCGCAATACACAGTCGTAGATTCCCTACATGCTCCGGCTCGGCCGGGTCATTTACCACCGCAGCCAGAACATTATTATACTTATTCGCAGGTTCATCGTACACATGTATCATAGTTGTACCGTACAGTTTACTCTGTACACATGCGATACGTCACCCACTAAACGTTATCTTCCTAAACATCTCGGCTAAATAAATTCACCTTCCGCTCGTTAAGCAGCTTTACTTATTGGGGCACCCGACTGCCAACAATAATACCGTAAATGACTTTACGCACAGCATTAATATCGCCCCTACTGCGTTTCACCAGCGAATTAACCAATCGGTTGCTGAACCTTGATCAGCCGACAAACAGCAATGTCACTGTCGTCACCCACCCGCTTCCAGTCGTCTACATCAACGCCACCCCCGAACAGACGTATTTAAAGCCGCACTGGACCCATTCGGTGGTCGGTCACCTGCTGGTCTCCTGCACCGGCATCCTCCTGACCTCCGCCGTCCTCGTCCTCTTCCTGCGCCTGTGCTCCTCCACCACCGCCTTCAGCGTCTACAAACTCCACATCCTCCTCGTCGACCTCCTCTGGTCCTCCTAGCGGCTCCCGCCACCCTCCTCAGCGAGCTGTATTCTGCCTGGCCGGATCCTCCTCCCACGGCAATTGCGCCCTCTACGTCCAGTGGACGGTGAGCCTGCTGCAGCCCTCCAGCCACGTCCTCATCGGCCTCAACCACTTCGGAGAGCTGACCTTCCCCCTCCACAACCGCCGCACCCACACCGCCCACATCGCCGGGCCCCTTTGCCTTCCCCTGCGCATCATCTGCCACGTTACCGTCCCTTCCGGAATCATCGTCGACGCGGCGTTCCTGCCGGAAGCCTATGGTATCACGGTGAACCTCCTGCGTCCGGGTTTAGAGGCATGGTCGACGGTGATTCAGAGTCTCAACTGGGTGGGATCACTGGGGGGTTGTGTAGGTTGGTGGCAATCCTTTCCTCTACTACCGGCGTCGGACGCACCGCATCGGTATCCGCTCCTCTATCAAACCGGTAAAAAGCGCCACCTCCAATACTGCGACGGTGGGCGGTACCCGGCATCGTTCGTGGTCCTTTTCATCGTGCTGACGGTGTTGACCTTTAACGCTGAACGCCGATCCTACTGTACACGACGATCGCGCCACTGACTGCAGCTGGCAAGTACAGCGCCATCGCCCGGACGCTGCTTTTCATCTTGTACGAAATCCATATACTCGCCCATCCGCTGCTTTTTGTTTTTACTGATCATTTCCGCCAACCCAACTGTTCAGTGTTTACACCAGTAAAACCTTTTGCTGTCAAGCAAAGGATTAACAATTTATTACAATTAAGCAACTTTATATTTTCATTTGCATAATTTCTTTCTATTGTTCATGTGGACGCTGCACGGTAGGACCGGCAAGCCAAATAATAATAACACTTGTAAACATATTTCTATTTGGTGTACTCTGTAGGGCAATTATTATAAACTAGTAGACCCCGCGCAAATTGCGCGGAACAAATAAGAGAAGAGTAATTTCGGGCAAAAAATAGTAGTTATTTTTATAAATCTATGTAGTTTCATCAAGAAGTTATAGAATTGCAACTTATTGTAATCATTGGCACAGACTTCGGCTATAGACTATTATAGTGATCACGAAAACTGCGGAAGATCCGGGCAAGCATTTATAGGGCGAAATGAACTGTACCAAGATTACAGTACTATCGCCAGCTTTTTTTCCGATTTATTCCAAATCAAGGCGCGCGCCAACATG